TGATATGCTCAAGTTCATGGAGCTAGTTAGGGGCAGGATTGAGATCAAAACCCAGGCTTTCTGACAGTTGGCACAGTGTTTTACCTCTATACCTAAGCTATGTATGATTTATTACTCAGCAAAGATGTCAAGAAAAAAAAGAAAAGAGGCTGAAGTTCTTTCCTTGTTGGTAAGGCAACATACTGACGAAGATAAATGTGAGCTTTTCTCTCACCAAACAAGAACAATTTGAGGGAAAAAGCGTTCCAAGGAATATCAGGTTGCTCAGGCCTCCAGACTGAGAGAGAGAGAAAAAAACATTCCAGGTATTTCTGCTCAGTGGAATGAAGGCCTCCTACAAAAGCTTCTGTTAGGCTTTTGAATAAATTAGTGCCATATGTCATTTGAGGATAAACATCCCAAATTTACTTTGAATGGTTAATAATTGCAGGTGAGCAAAAGACATTTACTGTGAGAAAATGTTTTTATACTGTTGATTTGTTAATCTATAGTGTTAAAACAGACCCAGCTATCTTATTTATTTATTTTTTTAATACATCACCTTAAACAATGCAGCCATTGTACTCCCAAGGAATTAGCTTTTGAGTGTTTTTCTCTTTTTCTTTCCCCTAAAGCAATAGGAGTTCATTTCCTTGCTTGTTTTGTCACTAATGGGTAAATAGCAGAATCCTAAGCCTTGCTCTTGGAGTGTTCAGGTAGAAAACAAGTGGCTTGATTATGCTAATTCTGAACATATTTCTCTTTTTCCCCCCACGCTATTACAAAGCAAAAGGAGTTCTGGTGGTGTAGTGGGCAAGGCATTTGGCTGCTAATGAGAAGGTGGGTTGTTCAAACCCACCAGCTGCTCTGTGGAAGGAAGATGAGGCAGTCTATTTCTGCGAAGTTGTACAGCCTTGGAAACCCAATGGGGGTTGCTTTGAGTCAGAATCAATTTGATGGAAGTGGGTTTTAGTTTTGGTATTATAATGCAAAGGGCTGACTGTTCCTCTGTGACTTTTCTAAATCCTCTTTCCCCCCTAAAATAGAATATCCTTCCTCTCTACATACTATTTTAAGCTGAAAGAGTCTGAATAAATTTAGAATGTTTCATTGGCTAGTGCTGCAACATGAAAGAATCAAATCCTATTCTGTTCATTTTGCTTTGAGTTTTTAGGAAAGCTACAAGTACAATTATTTGCATAATGTCATTTTAAGGCCAGATCTACGCTGACTCAATTCTAGTCTTGGCTCTATGGTCAGTTAGTTGTGTGATCTTGGGTTAGTCATTTAAGCTCTCAAAGTCTAAATGTCCCTATTGGTGAAATTAGGGAAAAGAAGATTGGAATTAATTCATTCAACACGATTGCTTATAACAATCAAGGCACTGTGGTCCATTTTAAGTACTAATGATTTTTGGTAAATGGAGTAAGGAAAACAAAGGTGAATTAGACAGGAAGCAAAGAATTTACAAGGAAGTATGTGTGTGTGTGTGTGTGTGTGTGTGTGATAATACAGAAAAAGACACCAACACATGAATATATATATGTAAATATATGCAGAGTGTAACTTATTTATCTTTATACCATTTGATTGTACCTGGTCATAGTATGATTTTTAATTTGGGAGAAGAAAAGTACTATCATTCAAATAGTTAGAAAATAAACTACACTTTATTACTTTTGAGGAAAGAAATGTAGATATGTCATATACTTATATAAAACTACCCGTTGCTAGCAGGTCAATTCCAACTCACAGTGACCCTATAAGACAGAATAAAACTGCTCCATAGAGTTTCTAAGTTTCCAAGGCTGTGACCTTTATGAAAGTAGACTGCCACATCTTTGTCCCATGAAGCAACAGGTGGGAACTGTCAACATTTTGGTTATCAGCCAAGGACTTAATCAGGGCTGTGCCACCAGGACTCCTCTACTTATAAAATTAGAAGTTTAAAATTTAATACTCAAGAAAGACGTGGGTGTGATCTAGTTCCATTGTCTCAGTTTATATATGAGAAAATCGAAGCTTAATTGCTATCAAGATCAGAAATATCCTATAGTCTCTGCTGTAGGAGCTCTGGTGGTGTAGTGTCTAAGACATTTGACTGCTAACCAGAAGGTGGGTGGTTCAAAGCCACCAGCCACTCCTTGGAAGGAAGGTTGGGCAATCAACTTCCATAGTGGTATCACCTCAGAAACCCAAGAAGGGGTTATTATGAATTGGAATTGACTCAGCGGCAGTGAGTTTTGGCTTTTGGTTTACTGTCATTACTATTCTGTACTGTTCTAGCTGTTCTTGTTAATGTAAGACCTGCAATTGAAACATCAGTGAAGAAACTAAAACATGAAACTGAAACTGAAATAAAACTATTAGAAAGCAAGGAAAGTTTATTATTTATTGACAAGTGATTCTAAACCTAGAGAATCCAAAAGAATTAATACTAAGAAAACTCTTAGTATTAATAAAATAATTCAGTTAAGTGCCTGATTATGTGAGTAATATAAAAAAGTAATGAAAGCTTTCCTTTAGGCCAACAGTAATTTAAGAAACTTTCCTGTTAATAAAAAGATATGTTGTCCAGGAACAAATCTACTAATCTATAGTGTGGAAGGAGCTCTAGTGGCATCAGGCCTAAGGCATTTGACTGTTAACCAGAAGGCTGGCGGTTCAAACCCACCAGCCACTCTTCGGAAGGAAGGTTGGGCAATCTACTTCTGTAGTGAAACTGCCTTGGAAACCCAAGGAGAAGTCACTATGAGTCTGATCCAACTCGACGGCATTGAGTTTTATTTTTTATTTATTTATTTATTTTTTACTAGTGTGGATATATGTGGAAAACAAAATAAAACTAAAGTTTTACTGACAGTAGTACTTTTAAAAGTTGAATTAATGAAAAGATTTATCCTCCTTGAAGCAGCTTTAAATCTTTTCAAATTAATTAAGTTTAACATGTTGCTGTTGTTACTGGGTGCCTTTGAATGGATTCTGACTTATAGCAACACTATAGGACAGAGAACTGCCCTGGTGGGTTTGAACCACTGAGGTTTTGATCAGCAGCTGAGATTTTAACCACTGCACCATCAGGACTCCTTTAACAAAGGCCTGAGCAAAGTCCCAAATAGATTTTAAGAGAAAAGATTGATTTTAAAGTTTATTTGGAAGAATGCTCAAGTGACAACAGCTAAGAAATTTTTGAAAAAGCAGAGAATAAAGGTTCTGTTGTCTCCTCCCAGTTATTGGAGAGCTCTATAAAGCTACAATAATGAAAACAATAGCTACATTAGGTGACAAATCAGTGAACAAAACTGAAAGCCCTAAAAGAAATTCTAATGAGTAAAATAACATATGTGACTCAAGAGCAGCCCAACTCAATGAGAGAATAGATTTAAGTTCCAGTGAATGGTGATGAAAGCTTTTGGAAAGTGTTTTGGAAAAACTGAAATTCATTCCTTGTATGTACACCACACTCCAAAAAAAATTCCAATTATAATTTGTATGATTGAGTTGTACATGTGAGAAATGTTGAAAGGGCAAATATTGGGCTGTACATATTTCTATAACAATAAAAAAAGAAAAAAGAATTAAATGTAAAAAGATCAATGAAGAACTGGAAGAGAAATATAGGTGTCTGTATATATAAGTACCTGATGGATTCAAACTGCCAACCTGTCAGTTAGTAGCTGAGTGCTTAACCACTATGCCACCTGGGTTTGTTAATCTTATATACGGAGGCCTACATAAGCAAAATGCTAAAGGAAAGAAAAAAGTTAGCTTTGACTGATTGGAAAATAAAACTCTTTCATGTCAAAAGTAAGACAAATGATAAGTTGGGTAAAATGTTTGCATCATTTTTGATGAAAAGTCAACAATCTTTGTATATGTGTATATATATGTACATATATATATACATCCAAAAAAAAAAAAAAAACCAACTCGCTACCATTGAGTTGATTCCAACTCATCGCAGCCCCACTGACTTTCCAAGGCCGTAAATCTTTACATAAGAAGATTGCCTTATCTTCCTCCCTTGGAGCAGCTGGTGGGTTTGAACCACTGACTTTCTGGTTAGCAGCCAAATGCCTTACCCACTACACCACCAGAGTTCTCTCTCTCTGTCTCTCTCTCTATATTCTTACAATGAAATACGCTACAGCCCTGAAAAGGAAAAAATAAAAGCACAATTAGGTAATTCTGAGAAGAAATACAATTGGCCAACATAATAATAATAATAGTAATTAAAAGTTCAACTCAGTAATAAGAAAAGAAATGCAAACTAAAGCAATAATGAAATGCCATTTGAATTGGCATATAATAAAAGATAATTCTCACTAATCTGGTGGTAAATTGTTATAACTTTTTGGCACTCAATTTGGTATAATGTATGAAAAACACTGAAAGAATTCATACCCTTGACCACAGAAATTCTGCTTCTAGAGTTAGGAAGTCATAAATCATCACCAGAACATGAGACAATGCTTATTTCCTAGTCAAGGGACACAGTAATGTGACAGCCCACCTCTGTTTACACTCAGTCTATTATGGTTTGATTAGAGCTTCAAGGAGATACTATTTTCTACCACTTTTGGCAGAGTGAAGCTACACCAGACAATGCCCTAGACAGAAGGTCCTGAATCACACATTCGTCTAGGCCAGGCATCTGACAAACATGTTTAATAATAGTTTTCCCTAAGATATAGTAGGAGATACAAACTAATAGGCTGCACAAGAAATCACCATTGAGCTGTTTAACATAAATGGAGAACCATGGAACATTCCCTAAGGCTTTATGCTAACCTAGATTTTATGCTAACCTAATATTTTACCATGCTGCCAGGAAATGACTGAGAAAGGTTTATGAAAAGACTCTGCTGAGATGCTTCCGAAGATCGTTAGGGCCAAGGGACAGAGCATCCACTTTTTCTAAACTTTGATGACTTTGGCAGACTCCTTTGGCAAAACTTTGTGTGTTCTAAAATTGATGGAGCGTTTCTTTCTTTTTCTTTTTCCATTTTAATGGTTGACAGTGTGGAAGTAATTCGTCTGGGACACAGTTATTTTATAAACTGGGATCGACAGATGTATTACTCTGGGAAAGCAACACCTGCTGAAGCTCGGACGACGACACTCAATGAGGAACTGGGCCAGATAGAATACATTTTCTCCGATAAAACGGGCACCTTGACTCAAAACATCATGACTTTTAAAAAATGTTCCATTAATGGGAAAATCTATGGTAAGGGACGTTCCTTTTTCTTTTTTTAAAGAATTTTGTTTTCAGTTTGAAAAATACTCTTGTTTTATGGAAAGCAACTATATTTTTTAATTAAAAAAAAACAGAACCATCTCTCACTTTCTTAACGAGAGCACGCACCATCAGCATCTAACACAGTAACTGGAACAAGATAGATAGTCAATGAATTGGGTGAATGTAGAATAATTTAGATGAAACTTCTGATGTATGACAGTTGATGAGTGAAGAAGGGGTTTCATACTATGCTGTCTGAGATTCCTTTCAGTACTTCCTCTGTCTGGTTGTGCTCTGTGGTGCCCCTAGACCATATCCCAAGGAGAACAAGTTCTTCATAGTCTGACTTATCTCCATAGAAATCAGTATATTATACTTTCTTCCTATCAGCTCTTGATTTGATGTTAATGATGCATCTGTGTGCCTGTGAGAATTTACTGTTCGTTCCGAGAATTCACATTCCACAGGGCCACCCAAGTGGCTAGACAAACTCTATCATCCATACCCAGTTGCTATATGCATGCCTGTGTCAGAATGTCATTGTTGTTAGTTGCAACTGAATGGCTCTGACTCATGGCAACTCGATGTATAACAATGGAAACATTACCTGGTCCGCACCATCTCCACTGTAGTTGGTCTGTTTGAGCCCATTGTAGAAGCTATTGTGTCAGCCCATCTCAATGTGGGTTTCCCTCATTTTCTCAGACCCTCTACTTTAGTAAACATTATGTCCTTTTCTAGCGATTGGTCTTTCCTGATAATGTGTCCAAAGTAAACAATATGTTAGATATATGCTCTGTATTTGAGTATTATAGCATTATCTTTATATGAGACCCTTGTCACCACTCCTTTGCCAGTTTGCAGACAGATACTCCACAGAGGGCATGAAGGCTCTGTGGTAGCCTTCTGTTAGGTTCCTGTGGACTCTCAATCTCACTTCACCAGATCTGAGTGTCCACTTTCTTAATACTGAAATTTTAGGAAGCAAAGGAAATTCAAGAAAGAGGGAAGCCTTTCTATTGTTTCCTGATAGGAAGCCTCACATACTGGCAAATATTTTGAAGCAAGATTTGATTGTGGATAAAACTAAGAAATATGAGAAGTTGATTTTTAGGTACTCTTGCCTTTTGCCCTCCCTCTGCTGCCCCAAACCTCATAACCCACAGTCCCAGGGTTTCCTCAGTAATCCTCATCCTCAGCTTCCTCTCCCTCCATCTCTGGGTGTGTTCCAGATGGTTTTTGATCTGAGACTTCCACAAGCCCTCTGTTAAATTGTACATTTCTTTTGTCAATATCATGTTGTTGTTGTTATGTGCCGTGGAGTCGGACCCAACTCATAGTGATCATAGTAGATTGCCCCATCTTCCTTCCGAGGAGTGGCTGGTGGGTTTGAACTACCAGCCTTCTGGTTAGCAGTCAAGTGCCTTAGGCCCTATGCTACCAGAGCTCCTTTGCCAATATCATAATGATTGATAAATAATTTCTTTCAAGTAAAGACTTTCCTTTAAAAATATATTTTTGCATATTATTTTCAGAGGCTTTTAAAAACTACCACCTTAACCCAAGGAATGGCTTAAAAGGGGAAATTTCAGTCACAATATTGGAAATATTTTGAATGTTGGGGACCTTTTGGGTTCTTTTGCCATGGCACATATTGATACAATAGTATTACTTTTAGAAGTTGATCCCAAGGAAAGAGTTAGACATGTGGGCTAAAATTTATTGCTACAGATGTTTATTTTTAGAGAAGGTTATTTTTAGAGAAGACCTGGGCTATTTTTAGGAAAGACCCCTGACTTTCACAAGGTATGTAGCCCAAGATTTTTACAAATCCTGAAATTTGCAGTTAGTTTGTAACAAAAGATTAAAAAAAAGCTCCTTAGACCCTTAATTTGCTAAACATAAGGATTAAGTAATTTATAATGTCATTAAAATACATTCTTACTAAATAAAACATTATTGGAGTGTTTCAGAATCACTTTTTTTTTTTTGTCTTTTTTTGATCTAAGTTGGACTCATTTATATCATCAACCTAGGCTTCAGGAAAATTTGGCATTCTGCTCTGATTTGCCCAAATCTTCTACTTTCTGGTTCAGAACTGTTACTTTCTTAGACTTTAATTTCTCTTCACTTCCATCACCAGCACTATAAATGGGTTTTCTTGGGGATGGGGGCCATTTTACTGAAAGAAGCAGAGCTTTAAAAATTTTTTTTTTAATTATTATATTACTAGAGTCACTGCATTGGAGTAGAAAATGACCCAGTGAGTTGGAGATTTAAATTCCAGGTTCTTGACTAAGATCATAGGCTCCTCCCACACAGTCACACTTCATTCCAGATTCAAATCTGTGCCCCACAAAACAACAAATGACTATTTGTCAAGTGATTTTGTGGTCATTGCATTGTACAGTGAAGAAAGAGACTTACGTTCAAAAGCCCATTAAACCGAATTTTTGGTTTTAGCTTAATCGTGTCACTTTAAACTTTCTGTTCTTTAGTTTCCTTATTCATAAAACCAGAATGAAATTCTTCATCATCAAGTTTGCTCTAGGGATTAGTGATTGTGTAAGTTTCTGACACATGGTTAATGCATATAATTCCTCTTATTGTTACAAGAAGTATAATCATTGCAACAGTTATTACATCTTCAAATAGGAAACAAAAATTGGGGGGAAAGAACTTTAAGTGCCCCATAATAGGAGAAGGATAAAATAAATTATGCTTTATCTATAATCACGGGCTATTATACAGCTATTAAAAATGTAATTCACAATGAACTTCTAATGACAAAGGAAATTCTCACATTGTCAGTGGTTAAAAACAGCAGGAACCAGAAATTTATGAACAGTATGATGAAATATATGTGCACACACACAATCATCCCCCAAAAACCCCAAAACCTGTAAACATTGGTTTTCTCTGGATAGTGAGACTGTTAATGATTTTTTATTTTCTACCATAAGTATCCTATATTTTCCCAAATATCTACAATATGCACGTATCAGCTTTACACTAAGAATATAAGTGGCTATGTTCTCTGCTTGCAAGTAGCACTGACATTTAAAGTTTATATACTAATTTGACCTTGATATTGTGCAGCTATATATGGCCCAAACCACAGCAGGCAAGGATGTGCTCACCAGATTCTAGCGCTGACTAGAACGGGTCTGGGTAGGCTGTCATTTTTGATTCCCCAATAGTGGGAATAATGTGGAAGACACAAATTTGCCTTTCCTTTTGCAGGTATCATAGATAATGCAACAACTGAAAGAGAAAATTGACATACAAATACAATTGAGAGCGTCCATTTTTCTGTCTACTGCATTTTAGTCCTATATGAGGCAAAACTTGAATATCTGTGTTAATTTGCACATATAAGTTACAGTTTGAAAATACTTGTAAAAAGTGTACATTTGAAGTCACATTGCCATTAGCACTGGTGCTTAAATAAATAAATGTATTCCTTAAAACTAAATGTCTAAATCTAATTGTAGTTTCATTTACTTTTTATTTTGTTGTTGAAAATATACACAGCAAAAATATACCAATTCAACATTTCTACATGTACAATTCAATGGCATCGATTACATTCTTCAACAATTCTCAACATTTTGCAACAATTCTCACCCTCCTTTTCTGAGTTGTTCTTCAACCATTAACATAAACTAACTGCCTCGTATGGTTCCTATCTAATATTTCGAATTGCTGTTGCCATTTTAATCCTACATAGTCAATTTTTAAAAGGGTGTAATGCTCAAGGCAGACATTTTTCACTAGTTAAGCTAAACTATTGTTTGGTTTTGAGAAGAATTCAGGGGGATATTTCTGGTTTAAACTTAACAGATTATCTCAGAGCATTAGTTGCAGAGGTTCATCTAGCCTCCACAGCTCCAGAAAGTCTGGAACCCATGAGAATTTGAAATTTTATTATGAATTTTTCCCCTTTTGATCAAGACTCTTCTATAGACTCTTTGATCAAAATGTTCAATATTTATAGATGGGCACCATTCAGTTCTTCTGGTCTCATGGCAAAGGAGGCAGTTGTTCATGGAAGTGTCAATATCATTTACTTTTAATTCTCAAATTTTTTTTGACAGGTGAAGTACATAATGACTCAAATCAGAAGACTGAAATGACTAAGGTGTGGAGGTGATAAATTTTTATTCTTAGTTTTACTTTCAAATTTTACATGTCTTTTTAAAATTATGAGTTCCCAGAAGCCAGATTGTGCTATGACAAGATGAAGGATATCTGATGTGCAACATTAAAAAATATACTCATGTGATTGAAAATTCATTCTCATCTATGTCCCCAACCACTGATTTTCCTCTGTATTTTTAAATTATTAATTATATATATATACACATATATGCAAGTAAATATATTTCCCCCATTTTTTTCACATAAGTAGTAACATACCATACACACTGCTGTCCAACTTTCTTTTTTCTCTCAACAGTGTATTTTGAAAATAGCTCTATAGGAAAAAATGTTTCTTTACATTTTATTTTGATCACTTCTCTCATTTCCAGCCTTCTCTCCTTACTGGAGAGTGGGGGTGGGACTTAATGGGTTTTCTGTGGCTTCTTTTTCCTCTAGTGCTCTCCAATTTATCTCAATTTCTGCTTCTTTCATAAACTAATTACTTTCTTCACTCTCTATCGCCTCACTACTTCTTCCTTGAGTATTGCTTGTGCTATTGCTTCAAAGGATTGATGGTTTCATTCCATTTTCCTTTTTTAAATTAATTACAAAAGTTCTTCTGCTCCATGGAAAGTGGTAAGGATGTTTCATATTCTACTTATTCTTCCCGTACTTTCCTTATGTTTCTTATAAGAAAAATATAATTGCATAGTACCTGTAGTGACTTCTTCTTCTTCTTCTTTTAAATTATTACCCATTATTGAAGGGTCTAAGTTTTTCCACAATAGTTTCAGAAGGTTTACTTACAGGAGGAGCCTAAACATTTTTTTTTCCTTCTGATTCAGGATTTGATGTTAGAATGTGATTAGCTGTTAATTCATGCCAGACAATGGAGCTAGGTAAATTATCTTTGCTAACCCAGAGTAAGCATGCTTCCTGGAAATACTGCTTTTCTGGAATTCCAAATCAAGCTGAAGCCCTCTTCCTGACAGTGGGTCACATCTTTTACCACTGTTGGATGTGTTACAAATAGGGATGTGTTCATTGCCTGTAAGAGTTGTGCATTAGTGGACTTTTTCTGAGATAGTCAACCACTGTGAGCTCTCTCTCTACCATCTTTCTGCCTCCTCCTGTATCTCCCTCTCCTTCCTCACGGTATTATCCTTCTTACTCACAATTCTTCCTTTCTCCTCTTACTTCCGCCCCCTCCTTTGGCAGCAACCAAAAAAACAAAACAAAACAAAACAAAAAAAACCGTTGCCCAGTCATAGTGACAGCAGAACTGTCCTATGGGGTTTCCTAGGCATCAGTCTTTACAGAAGTGGATTGCCACATCTTTCTTCCATGGAGAGGCTGATGGGTTCAAACCACTGACTCTTCGGTTAACAGCTGAGCTGTCAACCACTGAGCCATCAGGGCTCCTCATTGGCAGTGAGTCCATCTAAGTGAAGGAAGTGTGGCTTTTGATTCTACTTATTGTTGTCAGGTGATGTCAAATCACTTCCAACTCAACAATACTATGTAGAGCAGAACAAAACACTGCCCGGTCCTTTGCCATTCTCACAGTCATTTCTCTGCTTGAGCCCGTTGTTGCAGCCACTGGATCAGTTCACTTTGTTGAAGGTCTTCCTTCTTTTCACTGACCCTCTACTTAATAAGCATGATGTACTTCTCCAGGGACTGGTCCTTCCTGATAACATATCCAAAATATGTGACCAGTTTCCCTGAAAACGAAGTCTGCCTTTAGTTTCTCATTCTCTCTCTGTTTTCTTTCTTTTTTTTTTTTTTTTTTTTTGAGTGTGAGTTCTAGCAAGACAAAGAGGGAATGATGACTTTAGTCTATGCTTAGGAAATCCAAAGTCCAGTTAATATTTATTGACCAATTAGTGATCTGCCTCCAAATTCTTGCTTTTGATTCTTTTAGAGTGCAGTAGGCAAGTCATCGGTAAATGGGAAAGGGAGTCTCATAAACTTCTGGAAGAGTTTGCCCTCTGGCAGACAAAGCCACTGTGGACCCAGCCACTTCCTGTTTCCAGATTCATCTCTTGCCTCATGTACCAGATGCTTCATCCATTCTTTTCTCCTCAAAGTCTTACCAAATGATCACTTACTTTCTCTCACATGTCTCTGCAAATGCTGCGACCTTAGCCTGAAACACTCTTGCCCCAGTTCTTTATCTGGCTCATCCTTCCAGCCTCAACTTAGATGCTACTTGTTCTGGGACTCTGTCCTTGGAACTCCTGCCCTCTTGTCCAGTGTGCTTGCTTCATCATAGCACTTAGCACATCCTAGTGAAACAGCCGGTTTACTTGTCTCTGTCTTAATAAGGCTGACTTTCATTAAAGGCAAAGACGGCATTTTGTTTACTGCTGTATCCCCAGAACCCAGATCACAACTTGGCACAATAGTAGGGGCATGATAAATATTTGATGAATAAATATGGAGTGCCTATTTCAAAGTACAAGGAGCTTTGGTGGTATAGTGCCTAAAGCATTTGACTGCTAACCAGAAGATTGGTGGTTCAAACCCACCAACCACTCCACGGAAGGACAACTGGACAACTGGGCAATCTAATAAATATTAGATTTACTGCCTCAGAAACTCAAAGGGGGTTGCTATTAGTTGGAATCAACTTGATGGCTATGAGTTGTTATTTTATTTTATTTTTTTTGGTTTATTTCAAAGTACTGCAATGCATTATATATTAATCAAGGAATTGTTGGTACATTTTGAAACTTTGTACATATGTGTAATCATCACTGGAGTTACAATTAAAATAATATATTTTAGTATTTTTTGTGTTCTCACAAGAATTAAAGTGGCACATATTTTGTGTTTCAAATATCTGAGGTTGCTGTTGTTGTTGTTGTAGTTATGTGACGTCGAGTCAGACCCGACTCATAGCAACCCCTCCTTGAGTTTCCGAGGCAGTATCACTACGGAAGCAGATTGCCCAACCTTCCTTCCGAGGAGTGGCTGAGGTAGTTGATAAAAAATAAACTCAGACTACAAGATGGTTTATCTACTATATATTATATACTATTGTTGAGATATCTGAGAAAGCACTCTAATTAAACACAGTAACGTTTTTGCACTGAACCATGTTAATTTACACTAAGAAGTCTAAAAAAGTCTGTAAGTAAACTTGTAAAATTCCAAATCAGGTTTTGTTGCCAAAACTGGTTCAAGTTAGGTTAGATTTTACCATCAAGTACATATTGGAAAAACAAAAAATAAAACCCAACTCAATTTTCACGTTTTGGATTTGCAATATGTATTTGAGGATCTATCCAGCAATTGAGGATTTTTCTTCCTCATATGGATTTGGAAGGTTCACTGCTTTGGTACATGGCTCTGCAATGAGAAAATTACATTCAATAGTAATAATGAAACAACCATTTTAGTGCCAGATATTTCGGGCTGAAAAATTATACAAGGACTAATAATACTTAGAGGAAGTTTTTTTTTTTTTTTGAATTTCGTAAAGATTATTATTGGAATGAAGTCTATACTTTTGTTGTTCCCCTACAGAAAAAAGGGCCTGTGGATTTCTCATTCAACCCCCAAGCAGACAAAAAATTTCAGTTCTTTGACCACAGTCTTATTGAATCCATTAAACTGGGTGATCCCAAAGTGCATGAATTTCTTAGATTACTTGCTCTTTGCCACACTGTAATGTCAGAAGAAAATAGTGCAGGTAAGTGGATAAAAAGTGTGTCTAGAGTGATGAGTCTTATTTCTGTTTTGTGAGAATTGACTTTTTTTTTTTTTAAGTAAAACATGTTGGGGGTTTGGAGGATTTTCTAAAGTAATGGTAGAAAATTGCATAAAAGGGTTAACTTGCCACTAGCTTTCCTTTGTATTTATTTATATCCTGATTGTTTTCCAAAAAAATATGGAGAGACTTAACCCACAAGAAAAAGAAAAGAAATAGGATCTATGAAAGTTGTAGCTCCAAATATACTAATCTAAGCAGATGAAATGTTTCTTGTGATTGAGTAGCACATTTGACTGTGAGCTCCCTGGTAGCCAGCACAATAAGGGAAATAAGAGTTGAGTCACATAGCTATTTTAGTGTGTACATATAATTGATGCAGGTGACCATCAGGTGTTTGCTTAGAATGACTTTGCCCAGTAATGGGGATAGATTTAGACTGATACTAATATACTCTTAGGAGGAGCTCTGGCTGTGTAGTGCCTAAGGCATTTGACTGCTTACTAGAGGCTGGCGGTTCAAACTCATCAGCCACTCCTCAGAAGGAAGACCGGGCAATCTACTTCTGTGGAGATACTGCCTTGAAAACCCAAGGAGGGGTCACTATGAGTCAGGACTGACTCGACAGCAGTGAGTTTGGTTTTTTATTTTTTGGCATACTCTTATTTAGACCCCACTGTGAACAAGTTTTCACACTTATAAGATGGTTGTTTGGAACTCAGCCTTCATAAAATAGAAGAAAACTATCTGGGCCACTTTAATATTGAAGCTGTGAGGCAGGTAGATAATGGTGTAAAGAATCCACTTCTTGCTGAGTCCAATCTGTTCCATAAGTTTTATTTTTCTGCTACCAACTTTTGAGCTAAAATTACTACCCAAGTAATTTCAACTGCAAAATGAAATATATTACATATAGACTATATTTACATGTATAGGTATACCAATTTGTGTAAGTATATATGTATACATATATGCATATATGTGTGTGTGTGTGTGT